ACAATAATCTAACCTTGAGGTCATGAATGCATGAATGTCATACTTTAGATATACTATACTTAGATATACTTAGATATGGTTTTACAAATATTAGAAACATGGCTTTCAAATTAAAGATTGCTAGCTATCTACATAGAAACCGGCTACGAATTGAAACAGATGACACAGCCTCAGGCTCAGACAACCCATAACAAACTGGCTGTGTGTTTTCTTTTCAGCTTTTCAAATAAATGCCAAAATAAAAAATAAAATAAAACAAAAATAAAATAAAATTGAAAATTTCATCCGATACCCCTTTTAAATAAATATTTAAGGTTGTGTTTGTTTTCTATTAAGAGTCAAAAAAGTAAGCATCTCTTTCATCTTCTTTAAGCATAAAATAGCAGCCATATCTTCATTTCTAGAAAAGAGCTATTGAATATGATAAGGAGTTGAGACAAATTGATTATTTACAAAGCAATCTTTTGTGGTAGAAGTGATAGTTCTTCCATATTTGTAACAAGGTGTTAATTTTGTGGTTTTGGCTAAATGGAGTATACACAAGACTAGATAATGATCTGATATATCAATGCTATAAACACTGATTCCATGCAACAATAATAAATCTAAAGTATGATTGCGACAATGAGTGGGTCCTGACATGTTTTCTAACTCCAATAGAGTTCAGAATGTCTATAAATGGTAATCCCAATATGTCTTTCATTATCTACATGGATATTAAAATCAACAAAAATTAAGACTTTATCTGCTGCCTGACCTAACTCAGATAGAAAATCAGCAAAATCTTTAATAGAGTCTGTATGATGCCCTGTATTCAGTAACCAGTAAAAATGCCAAAAAGGATTTATCATTTACACTTAGAGGATGTTATATAAAGCACCATCACTTCAAAATAAATTATAATTGAAACCATACCTCTGAGAAATACTGAAAATATTATTATAAATTGTAGTAACACCTTCCCCTTTACCTTTTGGATGCAGCACATGTTTATAACAGTAATTTTGAGGGTAGACTCGTTTAAAATGTAATTGTCTGGTTTTAGCCAGGTTTCTGTCAAACAGAGCACATATAGTTTATGATCTGTGATCATTTACCAAAAAAAAAAAGTAATTTTTTACTTTTTACGTGAAATTTCAACGGTCTCAAGATTGACTACTTGTTAAGGATGTCTTTGGATGTAAGTCACATTGCATCTCTTTCATTATTAATGTGGATCTTAATTTAACCAACAATTAAAACTCTTATCTGGGGTCCAGCTGACCCCATTTGAATTTTCCTTTATTTTTTAAAAGTGTTCCCTTCATTCCATGGGCATGAAATTCTGTGACTTTTCCTAAATAATCTATCTAAACACACACACAAAATCGGGACTTGATTTGGTTGTTCTAAAGGTGTGTAAAAAAAATCACCGTTAAAGGTCATTGGGGTCAGATTGACCCCACATTGAAAATGAATGGGAAAATGTAAAAATTTATTTATTTTTTCATTTCATTTGTCAAAATAAATAAATAAATCAAGTATAAATCTGAAAATTTCTGCATTTAAATAAAGGTCTGGTCCTAGACCATAAACACAAAGTGGAACGAACTTTCTATCTCATACACACACACACACACACACACACAAACACATACATGTGTGTGACTGCAACAGAGAGCATTTTTATAGAAATTGCCAAATAAAATCAACAAAACTGGCATAAATCTGAAAAATGTCCATATATAAATTAAGGACTAATACTAGAGCACAAAGGCAACATGGAACAAGCATGTTCACTCTCTCTCTCACACACACACACACACACACACACACACACGCAGGTGTCTGGGGCATTTTTTTGATTTTGGCAAATAAAATCAGACATAAATGCACAACAGTGTGAAGGGGTAGACATAATACACCACACACACACACACACACACACAGAAAGAGAGGGAAAAGGGCATATAAAAGAAAGATGAAAGGCAGCTAACCTTTTGCACTCTGAGAAAGTTTACTGTTTGATGAAAGAGCTGCAGCAGTATTTTGAAAACATCTCACAGTTAGGGTATAAAAGTGGCTGTCTGGGTCCTGCACTGAGCTCATTCTGTGGCAGCACCATGGCCAAAAGGTACAGTCTTGAGGAGACCCTGGATTTCATACTGGATCAAAGTGACAGTGAAGAAGGCCCAGAGAACACTGAATCAGATAGTCCTGAGGACTTTACTACTGACACAGAAGATGAAACTGAGTTTGAACAGGATTACCAGGAATGTGAAGAGGAAGATTATGCAGTGTTTATTTGTGATAAATAATTTTCTAAAATAAATAGTATGTGATTACAGTCATGTCTTTTAGTGGTGACTTGTAACATTTCTGCAAATTTATGTATAATAATCATAAAAAAAACAGACAACAACAAAAATAAATACAAAAATACAGGTTTTTAAATGTATTTTAGAATGTTTAAATATATATTCACAAAATATATATATCATAAAGTTGTGAGGAGAAGTTGAAACATGAAGAAAACTGGACTTGAAACTGAACTGAAAATGAATGAATCCCTATGGACCTCTGCTGGATATATGTGGTCATTGCACTTTCTTTCTTTAACTATAATACCTAAAGATATTCCTCTAACCTGCAGATGGCAGTATTCTATCCCTAACACATAGGCCAATATCCAGAAACCGTTTATATTTAATTTAGGTCATAATTTAAGGGTTTTTGTCATAAAAAAATATATTTTTTATAAGCCAATTTATAGCATAGTTGAATATTTGTGCAGTACATAGGTAAAAAACTACCAAATATCCCCAAAACACAGCATAAATGTATAGCTGAGAAGTAAATAAAAAAAATTATATATAGTTTGTCATATAAAATTTTTTTATTTCCTTATACAATCGCTCTGTAAATGTTTGGGGTCTATCTGACCCCAAGGGACTTTAACGTTGCTCAAATCAGGGGACGATTAAAGGTTAAGCATTTGCTAGTATTAGTTGGACAGAAAATCTATGTAATGAGGAGTGGAGATCCATGTGTGGCTTAATTTATACAAGATCATTAAGACAGGTAGTAGACAGGGTTATTAGAGACAAGGCAAAAGCAGAGTCAGAGTACAGGCAGAGGGTCAGGGCAGGCAGCAAACACTACATACAAGAGTCCAAACAGCAGAGCAAGGAGATCGAGGCAGGCAGCAAGAATTTGTGAATCAAGGAACATTCCTTCCTTGGAAAAACGTTTAACAGGTCTCTACAAAGACCAAGAGCAACAAGGAAATGGACCAAGCTGTGAGTATAAGTTATGATTAACAGGGCAGTATATTTTTTTAGAGGGTGTCATTTAACTATCGTTCATGCATTTCTCTCTCCTGCACCCATAACTCAGATTATTCCTCATTGTCTTTCTCTCTCGGTCTCATACATCCTACAACTCAGAATTAAGTGCTCCGCTGACTCCTTAACATCTGCTTTACCAATACTAATTTGCATTTCATATGCAAATTAGTGAACACTCTCAATAATGAACACAAAATTGAATGAACACACTCAGTTATGTCCTCTATGGCACAAACATGTAACTCAACCATCTTGAGCAAGAGCAGAAGACCCATGGAGCTTCAAAAAGTTATTTATATTCTAAAATAATTCATTTAATTTTATTTGATCTGATCTGATTTTATTCTTCGTCCACTTCCTCTGCCATAAAAGTTTCTTGACCAAACGGCAATGAGACATCAAAATGTGTATTATGTCACAGACATTTAGCAAGAGCAGAGAGATTTTTCTGACACCAGGTGGTGGTATAATATGTGAATTTAGTTTGCTGTTTGGCATTAAATTTTTTCCCATTTCTGTCTCAACTAGTTTTTGGCTGTTTTTCTGATTTTCACAAAAACTTGCATAGAGACTCTCCAGGAAAATAATTTGTCAAATCATCCCACAAAATAAAAATAAAAATAAAAAAATAAACCAGGAATGTTCAATCCTGCAGTCAGCTCCAACACTAACACACCTAAACCAGTTAAGCAAGGTCTTCAAAAAACTTTCAGGCAGACCTGTTGGTGCAGGTTAGAGCTAAACAGGACTTTGGCCCACGTGATTGACCCATTTACTTTTTACTGCACAATTGTGTTTATATATATTATATATATATGGAATGACCTGCCCAACTCGATCCGAGCAGATGAGTCTTTAGCCATCTTCAAGAAATGGCTAAGACATTTTAAGTCCATCTACACTTGACCCTCTTGCAGTATCTATTCTATTTCCATTTTAACTACTTGTTTTCTTTTTATTTATTATACAAAAATTACCCTCTGAAACACTCTCTATTCTATTAACTTGTTTTCTTTTTATTTATTAAAAATTGACCCCTTTAACACTAGCGTTCCATATTCTTTTTCTATTCTGTCTGCTTGTTTTCTTTTAATTTATTATGAAAAATAAATAAATAAATAAATAAAAACTTGCTACGTGTACTGCGTTAGACTAACTGGGACTTGTCACAGCACTTACATATTATTGCTCTTTTGTTGGTTTTGATTTCTTCTATTGTCCTCATTTGTAAGTTGCTTTGGATAAAAACATCTGCTAAATGACTAAATGTAAATGTAAATTAAATCACTTGTTCACATTTACATTTCCTCTGGCTATTTTAAACAATTATGACTTTGCATTACATTTATTTATTTCTACACTAGGCCTATAGCCTCCTGCATTAAAAATAAATGAATTAATAAAAAAAATACATAAAAAATCAACTTAAAATTAAATAATTATTTTGATACCAACCTCTTATCTTACTCAGCATATTGGGTGCTTTCATTTTTTTGTGTTTTTTATTTATTCATATATTTTTTTACTCTTGCCTTTCAATAACTTTACCAAATAATAATAAATAAAATAAAAAATATATAGAAATAAAACTGAAGTACATTTACTAACTTTACTACAGATGCAGGAGTATATAAAGAGTAATAAAGGCACTGGAGTGAACTTCAGTATCCAGGTTCTCTGATTATTAACATGCATAATTCATGAGGCGATTGTTCACAGTTGGCGCGTCTCCGCTGCTGAGCAACAAGATGGCGGCCGCCGCCGGATCAGGTAAATTTGTGAAAAACTGCCTTTGCATTTGATCATTTTTTCTTTCGTATCCAAAACGAGTTTTATGAAATGATAAAACGCGGAAGAAATATACTTTCATTGAAGTATTCACTCTTGTGGCTGTGTTTAGCGTCTCAGCATTCTTGTGGGTGTGTTTGCACAGCATTAGCCTGTCAAAGCAGTGACATTTATCGCGTTTAATGTCGATGTTGCTTATTTTTGAGTCTGTTTTAAATAGTTTAGGATCCATATACATCGTCCTTAATATATATATATATATATATATATATATATATGGATTAAAGGACAACGGGATTTTAATATAATCTGACGATTCTGTTGATTAGCCATGTAGCTTGTTCAACTGCAGCGTCATGATAGAGAAACAACACAATACATTGGCTGTGTCTCAAAGCCTTGTGGCTGCCTAGCTAGACTGCAGTTGTGTGGACCACAGGCGCGGTCCGTGTCAGTTGTTGTTTTAAACATGCTTTCCTTGTTGGCAGTTCGTTAGGTTTAAGAATATTTTTACTAAAATGCCGTATAGGTAACGTTAGGCATCTCGCCCGTTGACTTTAGTGATGTTGCAAACCTAACATTTCACAATGTCTTCCATTTTTAGCACAATAGCTAACTTTAATAATGTCAGTTCCTTTGCGGACCTCTTGTGGTAAATGTAAAGTACATTCTTACTATTTTATCATTTATCACATTCTTTAACTCACGTGGTTTGTAGCACATAACATACACCTTTCAAAAATAAGGTGACATTATTATACACTAAAGCCCACATCTATTAAAATATATTTTAAAAATGGCCTTTTCTCTTTGTATGCACATGCATGTTATTGTTAATCGACCTTTTTGGGAGCTAACATTAATCATTTGCTCGTGTTATAGAGTGCAGCAGTAGTGGAGGTAACGAATTACAACTACTCGCGTTACTGTAAGTCGTTTTTTTTCGGGTACTTTTCTGAGTATATTTTTAAAGCTGTACTTTTACTTGTGCTTAAGTACAAATTAAGCAAAATAATCTTCTTCGTTACTTTTAAATCATAGTTTGTTACCGAGTACGCCCACAATTTGAATTAATATTCAAACCTTTGATGGCACTTCAGTAGCCAATAAAGATATCCCAACGTAAACGGACCTATATCGGCAAAATATTCTCTCTCTCTCTCTCTCTCTCTCTCTCTCTCTCTCTCTCGACACGGAAGTGACTTAAACTGTCATACATCGACTGGCCGCTAGAGGCTGGCTGCAAAAGGGAGTCAATCCCATAGACTCCCCATGCTAAAATGCCCAACTTTACAGCAGAAAAAAACATGTTTACAGCCTGGTTCAAAAAATTATTTTGGTCTATATAGCTAATTTTGCCCTTCATGACAACTCATCTGTTTAAATTATATTAAGCCTTAAAGATATCCCAACGTAAACGGACCTATATCGGCAAAATATTCTCTCTCTCTCTCTCTCTCTCTCTCTCGACACGGAAGTGACTTAAACTGTCATGCATCGACTGGCCGCTAGAGGCTGGCTGCAAAAGGGAGTCAATCCCATAGACTCCCCATGCTAAAATGCCCAACTTTACAGCAGAAAAAAACATGTTTACAGCCTGGTTCAAAAAATTATTTTGGTCTATATAGCTAATTTTGCCCTTCATGACAACTCATCTGTTTAAATTATATTAAGCCTTAAAGTTCTGCATAATTAAGGGCATGGGCACTTGAGTGACAGGTGGATTGCCGCTGCTGTCACCACTGTCGAGCTAGGTGGGCGTGGTTTCAGCAACCAGCTCCCGCCTCTTTACCCATTTTCGATTATCCGGGAGTGACGCGCGGTGACGTGCTGCATGCCGGCTCCGCCTACTTTAGGCTTCAAAAACGCTCTTCCGAAACCTACGGGTGACGTCACGGACACTATGTCCATTGCAGTGATGGGCAAACTTGGCCCTTCCAGGCCACTTTCCTGCAGAGATTTGATCCAACCCTGATATGACTCACCTGCCTGTAGCCTTCTAGTAGTCTTGAAGACAATGATTATAGCTTGGAGCTACCCTCTGAAGGAAAATGACCTGGAAGGGCCAAGCTTGCCCACCCCTGGTCTATGGTATATACTAGTGCTTTAATTATACCGGTTTCACGGGTGACCGGGTGTTAACCATATTTTCTACTGATTGAGAGAGGAAATACTGCAGTATATTGACTTAGAATGCCCTATTTTACTGTCATGATGAGTGAATATTGTCAAAAAATACCACACTAAATAGTGACTAAACACGACCCCTTTTAATACATGTTAACCAGGAGTCATTCTCATTTATAATCGTGGCATCGTCTGATAAAATCAACATGCATCTACACTAAAGAGCGGCTATGCGGTTGTTTTGGCTATATTACTTTTTTGTCTCATGCAGCGCACTGCCTGCGTCTGAGTGATTAAAAAAACAACAAACAAAAAAGTGCATGTGATATTAACAGACGAACTACGCTCATTTATAATTCCAAACAATCGGTAAGCGACAGGTGCTAGGAAACGCTGTTTTGTACTCATTTATTGAGGAGTCGGCTGCGGTGCTTCTCTGCCGCTCACTGCACAGAACAGATGCCGAGAGAGGTGACACTTCTCCAGGAAAGTCAGACCTCGCGTTCGCGGGACAGCACTGGCGAAATCTTCCAACTGAACCATAGCTAAGGTTTATCCAAAAAATAAGGTTTGTAACCATAGATTTATGAATATTCTATGGAAAAAAGACGCTAAAAGGGTCTGAAAGTGGCTAAATCTAGTGCTAAAGTGTGTGTGTGTGTGTGTGTGTGACTCTCTCGGCGGTGGATATTTGTGGCGGTCAATGTGGATATTGTGGATGAGTTCTTCTGTGTCATCACGTTCTATTAGTTCTACAGCTTCAGTTTCAGAACTTTCATGCTTAGTAACACATACAGCTGTTCCCTCACCACAGTGCAACAGTGAAAAGGGACCCCTTTCAAACGGTGTCACGTTCCGAATGTTGTTTTAACGAATAACGGTATTGCGGTATTTAAAAAATTAATATCATAACAAAAATACACCGGTATTCGGTATGAACCGGTATACCGCCCAGCACTAGTATATACACGTATATACCGAATATACACTGACACAAGCTGCGTCTCTCTCTCCTCTCCGACAGTGAGTTTGACATGCGTCCACCTTCTGCCAATTACAGAGTCTGAATGTCTGCGCGGGGATTGCAGGTATTCCGCATAATTTTAATCATTCCCGCACAAATGTGGCGAGCGCTTTATTGTAACATGAGAACACTGTCATGTAATCGCAGAAAACTGGATGCGAGCTCTCAAATAGGCCTAACTTATACAAATGAACTGTCTATCTGCTTGTGCGCACTCAGACTGTGTGCAATAGCGATCTATCCGTGCTTTTAAATTATTTCTCTTTGCTCCTGGATTAAACATTGTGAAGAATAGATCCACGCCTGACCGATGAAAATGTTACTGCAAATTGTATTGGCTGTTAGTGAAATGCACCAGAAAGTCTTTCAACAATCAAAGATGGAACTTTAATTTCTTTACAATGTAAGTATGCTAGAAATTTTCTGGTATTGGATATTTGTATTTGTACATATAATATCGTAGTCTGTCTAACTGCATCACTACATTGTACAGTCATTACAGGTCAAAGCCATCTGATGTTCCATTTATCTAAATAAACAACATATATGGCTCTTAAAACACTGCCTATGAAAATTCAGTATTGTCATATTTCGAATACCTCAACTGAATTGAGGTCATTTGTTTTATAATTTTATTACCGACTGTGTACTTGTCCTTTTTTGTAAATTCAGTTCAGTTTGAAATAAAATTTGAAATCATGCTTCCTTTTGCTGTGAGCTTTTGCAACAGTTATCCTATTTTAAAGACACAAATACACAGAATGAGCAAATGTTTAAGATTGAGATTTTTGTAATGGTAATTGATCAATATATGTGTGTAAATAAAAGCCTATTAAAATCTGTTCATCATATAAAGTGAATGTGTCTTTTTAGAAGACTTGGATTAAAGTGGTCATATGATGCTGCTAAAAAGAACATTATTTGGTGTAGTGAAATGTTTATGCGGTTTAACGTTCAAAAAACACATTATTTTCCACATACTGTACATTGTTTCTCCTCTATGCCCCGCCTTTTTGAAACGCATCGATTTTTACAAAGCTCATCGGTCTGAAAAAGCGAGGTGTGCTGTGATTGGCCAGCTATCCAATGTGTTGTGATTGGCCGAATACTTCAAGCGTGAGAAGGAAATGTTACGCCCCTAACATACTGTTGATGCCGTGTCCGGCCGGAGCGACGAGACATAAACATTAAAACCCATTATAAACTAGGTATTTGTGGCATCCAGTGGGGACATAATTACTGATTATAATGACTTATACTGTCTTTTTACGTGTTGCATTGCATCGCGCCGCGTAAACATAAAACTCTGTCTGCATTTGTGATCGGAGAACCCCGGCTTAGCGTGAGCTGGACTCCGCTTTGTCCACGGTGAAAGTTGATGTATTCCCTCAGCGACCAGCACAGATCAGCTCTAGGCATGACGAGGCGGATATCATCCTGTTTTGGAAGACCAAACAAAGTAGTTTCGCTTTCACAACGAAACACACAGTGTCTTCAGGATATGGCTGCAGCGTCAACCATACTGCAGCGAGAATAAAAGTTACGCCTTCTTTCTTTGCGTGAACATTTGGGCGGCGTTATGCAAATCTTCCCAGATCGTGACGTAGGTATGTGGGGGCGTGTTAGAACGAGCCGTTTTAGGTAGGTGTGACTGACTCTGAACTTTTATAAAGAATATCTCTTTGGATTTGAGACTTTAGTCTTTGCAACTTTACAGATCTTCTTTATGCACCAAGAGCTTGTAACACTCCAAAGAGAAAGGAAAAATTGAAATCGCATCATATGACCCCTTTAAACCACTCAAAGCTTGAAAAACAATGGATGAACAAAA